GCTGTGGGAATACTGATATCAGCATACCTGCTATTTTACCCAGAGACTACTTTTTTGGGGGCCATAGCGCATACAAAACACCACGCTAAATTTGAATTGATGGGTAAAACTCTCAACAAACAATAGGATTTAAATGAAGCACTGCGCACCAATTGCATGCCAAACAATGTCTTTCTAGGGTATCAACATGTTTGTGTATTTGTGGTTCAAAAATATATTTTCAGTTTTTTTGAAATTTGATATGACAGCTTACCCACATAACTGTAAAGCAAGCATGTGTCTGCATAATTTGTGATACATTATCATTGATAGGACATTGTTTGAACCATACGTCAATGTCAAAGTGACAACCAATCCTGCTGCAGCCCTGCAGAGGTTTTAATAACTGTTGCAAGAATTATAGTTTTGCACAGCTTTTATTACATTGTATTTCGTGACACTTTGATGTTTCATATTATCCAACTAATTTTAATGTCAGATAAAGACAGCCTGAGTAAAAAAAAAAAAACAAAGTCCACCATTTTAACAAGCAGTCATTTCTCCATAGCTAAGGATCCAGACCCCTGTACAAAACAATGTGTTGAACCAAGTTGCTGCTTTTTTCCAAGCTAATATGAAGTAGGCACAATCTCAAAATGCAACGTCCTATGCCATGATTTAAAGAAATTCAAGAACAGATGTCACAATGATCCATTGTGACATTTGATCCATTCAGTGCACCTCTGAATGGATCAAAATACAGATGAAGACAAATTGAGACTCATTGCCAGCTATAGCAAATAATTCACTCTAATTTTTGCTGCTAATAAGTGGCAAAACCATTTATTAGGTTCAGGTGGTAATACATTTTACACATAAGGCACTGCCCTCACACTCCAGTCCTCCACAGTCAGTGTCCTGCAACATTTAGATGTGTCCCTTGTCCTACACACTTGAATTAAGTGGCTAAACTGCCTCACTTGCATGCAGTCAGGCTCCACAGAGCTCTGCTAATGAGCTAATATTGGAGTCAGGTGTGCTGAAGCAGAGTCACATCTAAAAGTTGCAGGACAGTTTGAGATCTCTGACATTAAATAAGGTTCGTTTGGATAGCCTTTTCTTTTCGTAAGTGAAGTAAAATTTTCTTTAGAATCAGAAATATTTACGTGTCAAAAAAAAAAAAAAGCTGAAATAAACCTGTTGTGTGGGCCTGGGGGCAGACTTAACCTTTGTTATTTTAAGAAAACTTTAAGTTTCAAACATGGCTTTTCTTATGTTTGGACCTCGTTGGTTTGTTTTTTAAATCCTGAATTACAAGTTGACTGTAATTCATGTCTATTGGCAACAGGTGAAAAGTGTACTTTGACAACCTGTGCCATATTTATTTATTTATTGAAAATTAATGTAAAATGTCTGTAAAAAAAACAAACTAAATATAACAGACATTTGGCAGCGCAAATATTCAGTGGTATTTTAGTTTTTAATCAAATAAAGCAAGTCAATGACGAGTGTGGATTATTTATTTCTGCTTCAGCTGAAAATAAATACGCAGCAAATGTGTCATATACATTAGTGAAGAGACAACATGTATTGAGGAGGAGCCTTATCCAAATGGAGAGCCTTTGTTTGCAGCTGTCGTGACATATTCATGACTAGGTCCATAATAGTCAGATTCCTGATATATCCCCTGGGGAGAGCAGAGAGAATGGTGTCACATCCAATTACTGCAGCACATACTAGAGGTAAATCAAGGCCCTGTGCCATGAACTCTGGAAGCAAAGGTGCAAACACTCACGGCATGAGCAAAGTTATATAAAAATTAATATAATATTGGAAAACACATTCTCCTGGTTACTTAGAGGTCATATATGGATTACACATAGAAATGAAATTGGCTAGAGGCTGTGGTTTGCCTTCTAAAAACATAAATTGACATAAAGAGGATCTATTAGTTGTGTAGTGCAGACAGTGCTTGCTCAAGATTTTGTTTTTACGGTTATAGATTTGTCTGGCCCTGTGCAGAAATTGAAATTACAGATGAGGATGAAGATTTTTCCCTCGCTGAATGAGAAAACAACCAGGTCACCCTGTTCTCCCTTAAACCTTCTTCTAACCACCATTGAGACGCTTTTCTGCAGAGCGAAAAAGGAAAGAAAGAAAGAATGCTTTTGTCTTTATCCTCCACGGTGGTCTTTGGGAGGCACGTTGGTTTTAGTGGTTTGGGGGGCATCTCTGCAAGTGCACAGTCCCGTTTCACCCTGGAGCGGTGCAAAAGCTCCTGCCCAATAAAACAGGCTGCATCCCCAGGGCCCCTCCCTCAAGCCTCCAGTCAGCGCTTGTTTTTGCACCATTTATTTAGTGTGACACATCTCCAATTAAACTGTGGAGGCTGCTGCATTCCCCCCATAACTACCTCTTATACCTCCCCATAGACTTTCTGTCACACCGAGAGTGTGAGTATGAAAGAGTGAAAAGGAGAGCTGGTTGGAGGGAGAGAGAGATCACATCTTGCCTGCCAGCTATGATCACAATGTCATTTTCTCCTCAGTGGTTAGGTGCCTCCTCTGAAAGGTGCCCTGAATTATAATTATCAAAATATTGAACAAGATAATCATCCCCTTTAATGATGCTGCCACTTCACTGTTTGCATTGCAGTACTTGTAGCTTTCGGCTTTTTGTCAGATATAAAAAGACTAAGAAGCCACAAACACGTTTTCAAAAGGCTTGCCCCTGATTCTCCATGTCTTTCATTCATCATCTTAAATTTAAGAATCTTTCATCTGAGCCTTGCTTCCTCTTCATCCTCCCACAACGGCCTCACACACGGTCGCAGGAGGAGTGACTTTGTCCGACCCCAATACCGTCTGCAGGAGCGCAGCTGAGGGCAGCAGCTGCCAGGGAGGACTGGTGGGGGAGCGCCCAAAACGCCGGCTCTGCCAAGCGCCCGGGCCAGGGGGAGGCCCAGTGGCAGCTGGGAAGGGTGGGGCAGCCAGCTGTGGAGCAGCAGGGTGGTGTGGGGTGATGGTGCAATGCCACTAAATCGTAGCAGGGAAACACAAATGTAAATATGACATCTAAACATATAGGCACAGTGAACAGGTATGGTATGGTGGGAGTTAAAATCTTTTTTTCTTTTTTTTTTTTTTACCTTGCAGCACTTTTATTGCTCTCATCATCGTTTCCACCATCTGTACCAAGTCAGTGGCCCTCTTAACACCAAACGCAGCTCTCTAGTCACGTGCTTCGGCCACACATCTGTTGTACCATCTGCATAACTCCCCCCAAAGTGACAGGTAGTCCCTCTACCTCTCTGGAGGAAGCGGCAAAGGAAAGAGGGGGCATGGAAGATAATTTTGGGTGTAAATGTGCTCTGGACCTCTCTGGACGCATCTGGCCGAAGCAGAACACTGCTGAGCAGGGCAGGGTCATTATCAGTTGGAAACTCACAACCACATAAAACAATTAGATCATACTGTCACATTATGACAGCACCAATAGCGCACATCTTGTTTATGATATTTGCCACAGGATGAATGCTTTTCTTCTTGCAAGAGTTCATGTATCTGAATCCCTTTTATGTTTTTTTTTTTTAATGGGCCTATTATCTTTCCATTTTCAACATGTTGGGGTGGGCTATACAAAACAGGTTCACTCCATTTTTTGCACAAAATCATTCTCTGATAATGAGATTTCACATTTTCAGCTCTGCCTATTTTGAGCTCCTTTCAGAATTCACAATTTTGGGTATCTGTAATTTGTATGTAAATAAGCTGTTTCTGGCTGCGCCTCCAACTTCAGATTTACTTTCACACTTTATTCTCTTGAAAGTGGCTGCAAACAGATGCACAATTGCACAACTGTATATCTTTGACCTGAGTCAGGCCCAGAAGAAGTGCTCAGCCAACAATGACACAGCAATGGTGCCTCAACAGCCAACAAAACACTTGTCTTTTTCAACAGCCATTGTACAGCACATACAGCGGTAAAAACAGCTGACCAAACATACTAATCTATTAATGAAATGGGCAGTGCTCTGCTTGTGTTACTAGGTGAGGGGTCTGGATTGACCAGTTTCCAGGTGAGGAGCAGTACCTGCCAACTGTAACACCATGATGGACAGGTTTTTAACATAGCTTATTTTCCAGACACCAAAATCCAATGACTGCAAAAAATTGTTGATTTTTTTTTTTTTTTTTTGCTTGGACTGTTTCTGGAAGGAACAGATTTAAGCTTTTAGCAGGGCCACATTTTCTGGTCCTGATACTGTCACCACCATGATCTTGCAGGGTGATGTGTTGCTTTTCACCAAACAGTTACATATTGGTCTCATCTGACCAAAGCCCTTTATTCCACATTTGTGTCCCCTTGATGCCTTGTGAAAAAGTACCTTTTAAGCCTTTCTTCTTGCTATTCTTTCATAAAGTCAAGACTTCTGGAGGGTACAATTAATAGTTTTCTTGATGACAGGGCTGTGGAGTGTTAGGTATTTTCCTCGAACCTACAATAAAATAACCACAGACAACGTATATGAATTAAATATGGTCAGGCTTCTGCAGAAGGAGAAGTCTGTGGAGCTTTGCTTCTCTACCAGTTACCATGGGTCAGTTTAGGTCATGTCGTGGTAATTCTAGCATTTTGCCATACTTTGACTTTTTAACTCTGACTTTCCGACTGAGTTCATTGTGCTTCTGAATGCCATTTGCTCACCAACGACACCTTCAGCAACTGTATTTATGCTGAGGTGAATTGCACAGTTTAGACTGTATTTATTTACAATTAGCTGGCTTCTGAAGGCAGGTGGCTGTACTGAATTTTTATTCAAAGCAAAAGCGGGCTGATTATATTTGTATGCCTATGTAAAAAATGCCATCCATTTCACAATTGACACTGTATATATCAATTCCACAACATAACATACAATGTTACCTGAAAGGTTTCAAGAGTTACGGAAACAGCAGCATAACAGTATATTCATAACATCCTTCAGAAAAGGGGCTAAAAAAAATCCACACAAAAATGTATTAAAGATTCTTCCAATTTATTTGAATGTACAGTTCACATTGCCAAGACACATTATGTGACCTCCACTTGAATGGGGTGCAGACTGAAAAATATTAAAACAGCCATATAAACAATATCAGAGGACTGTCAGTTCCTCATCTTTACGTTGCTGTACATATGGGATCAATAAAATATGCACCATAATACAGATATCAAGCCAGTGATATAAAACTGCACAACCAGTCTTTACTGTGTTGAAGGAATCCACTTCAGAACATTATTTTCACATATTATGTTACATATTTGACAGTAACAATATTCATTATTCACACAAAACACTACTTGAATGACATCAACTCAGACATTTCTTCAAAGGGGGCGACATGATTCCAGCATTGTCAAATAACAGGCTAATAAAAACAAAACATAATCTTAGAAAATAAATCATGTTGGGCTTTCCCATTTACCACTCTTCAAACAAGCTGTCGATATTTTCAGAAAATAATAATAATAATAAAAAAAAACTCCCAACTGAGATTAATTTACAATCTGCTACATACAGTATTACCTCTCTGAGAACTGTTAAGGAAGAAGGCCTTATTTTGTCAGGTACTGTGGTAAAAAAAAAAAAAAAGGACAGAAAAATATCTCACTTAACACTTCTGTTTTTATGGGTTGTCTTATGCTGCCCATATTGTTTTTAAGGAAATTTTATCTATGGCATTTTTCATAAAATATTGATTTATACAGAGCTATGTCACATATGTTGCAGATCTAATTTATTAGTCATACAATTCAATAAAGAAAGAAAACTGTATGGGATTCACCATCATTAAAAAGCTTTAAAAAAAAAAAGAGGGACACATACGCTTCTTTAAAATAAACGACACAGGCTTAGTACTAGTTTTCAACATCTTATACAAAGTTAGCTTGATCTAAAAAGCACAAAATAACAGTTGTTTTTTTCTTTACATTATCACATACACTGAGACATGTACCATTGGCCTAGTTGGAAATTTGCCTGGTGCATCTTTTCGTCTTCAAACCCCCGAGCAAATCCCTACGTTATTGCTTCTTGTGATTGGAGAGTTGAAGGGCAGGGAACTGATGCACTCAAACACATTGAAAATTTGACATTTCAGTTTTGGTGTCCAAAAATCTTTGTTGCCACATTCCTCACTCTGCAATGCTAAAGGATAAGGCAGTTCCATTTGTTTGTTTATTTTTTGTTAAGGCATTGCCGCTTTGAGACACTGGAGCAAGGTCACTGACTTTGACATGTGCATGACGAACAGGAACACATTTTGCTGGAGAGGATAAAAGCCCAAAAAGGGGAAAACATATCTTGTATTCATATGCGTGTTTGTGTCCGGGAGGATCTGAGCTGAAACCATCATTATTGTCTGCTTAGCAGTTGACCAGAGGTCAAAACTCAGAGATCAGAGAGGAGTTGTGTAGGTAAACTGTGACCATTTCTCATTGCTGGTAATTTCCATACTGGCCCTGTAGAGTGAAATACGACAGACACATGTTACTGAGCTTTTAAACAACTCTCAGCACGGTGCAAAGAAACATCTCAAGTCGCAATGTTATTCTGTAAAACATGATTAATAATATATCTGCACTGACTGGAATTGACCAGCAGGTGGCAACATGACTTCACAATTTAAAAGCACTAAACTAACTATACATATCAAGTTTGGGCACAAAAATTACTTCTGAAAAATAGGAAGCTACTTTTAAATAAGAAAAATCTGCTTTAACAGTTCTATTTAATGCATTCCTAAACAGGGGTCGAAATATGCGTTTGGTATTAATAGAAACTATAAATTTAAACTTTGATAACAAATTATAATGTTAGGGGTGTAACAGCACACATAATTATTGGTTTGGAATGAACATTATTAATTTTTCACCAGGACTTAAAATGCTTGAAAAAAACCCATTAAAAACACGTAAAAAATGTTTTTTTTTTTTAATAATTATCTCAGCATTACCACTACACAAACTACAAAAGGAACTTCCACAACTGTTGCAACCTCTGATAAAATGCACAAAAACAATAAAAATATTTTAACTTTTACTTCAGATAAATATGGTACACTGACAATTTTCAGTTCAGGCCAGATTTTAATACCGTCTGTAAATAGCCATGTTTAGAGAAGTCTACTCTTTATCTAAATTAGCAAAAACGCATGGTAACACAAGGCCTCATTTGGGCCTGAAGCTCAGCCTTAATGTAATACATTGCATAGGGTCTGGTAAGGACCGAAGTATGAAGAAGGGAACTTATGTGACTGACAAAATGTCCCATGTGCCCTCGGTTTGTAGTTTAAAAAGGCCTAATTTTGTTGTAACTTTTTCATAAAAGTTACAACAAAAATAAGCTTAGCACCATCACATGTACCGCTACACCCCTTTAAGCACAGTTTAAGCAATGAACTGTTGCAAATTAAAGTTGATTAAAGGCACAGCCTTTGGTTGCAGACCATGTATGGGTTTTTTTTCTTAGACCTCATTACTTACAGTTCGACCCCTGATAGATAAAAAAAAAATAAAAAATACATAAGTGTAAAAAAACAAGGAAGGGAGGGAAAACTACAAAGAAAGACTGAAAGGGATAGAGGAGAGGCAGAAGAAACAACAAATGCAAATTAAGGCTAAGTGGTCAAGTGTCTAGATTTAACGTTGAGGTCTTCACAGCAACCATTACCTTTGCTTCTTATAGAGCTAGTCAGGGGTTCAAATCCCCGCTTCTTTATTTCCTCATGTGCCCCTAAATGTTCAAAGATAAAGATATCAAAGTGCAGCTGTGGTCCCCACATAAGACCACAGGTAATACAGGGCAGCAAATCGATCCCCCTTCAAAACACTGACGCAGGCCGCATCAAGTAGAAGGAAGAATCCTCTTTAAAGCCCTCATTTATCACTGAAATATGATTCCACATAAGCCACAAAACATAAGCAAGACTGAGAATTGAGAGCAAAAGACACTAAACACATAACTTCCACTGGGAAGAACACATTTAACCACCAAAAATGACAACAGCATGCAAAACACACTACCCATTAATGTTTTCTCATTTCATTGATAATAATTTGACATTAACAATAACAAGAAAAACACTAAACCTGATGCACAAACAAGTCTCTGTGACCATTTAGTCCTTTGGCTATACTCACCTGGTCATAACCATACGGGCGCTGCTGTTGGCCCTGTGGGGGTCCGGGCTGAGGGGGACGGTAGCCCCCGTACTGCTGACCCTGACCCTGTGGGTAGTTAGGATACTGTCCTGGGCCACTTTGGGAGGGACCTGAAATAAATATTCAGCAGAAAGAATTGAAAACAAGACATGCTTACATTCCTTTAAGTTGACTGAAAAATCTACAAAAGCAAGTTTTGACACCTCTCAGATGCTGCCAACACTATGACTTTAAATTTAGTTTTTAAACGGAGTCGTTTAAGATGTCGTAAAGTTTTGAAACATATTCCAGCCAAACTTAGGGTGTTTTAACGCTTTGATAAATTCAACATTTAAAGGTATTTTGGTTTAATTTAAGGATCAACAATGGGTATGACAAATAATTTAATCCAATATCCTCTCCTAACTATATTGGTAATTTCCCCTTATAGCTGCAGTATGTAAGTATTATTTATTTTTTAAATGTTTATTTGCATATTTATTGAAACTGTCATTATGTTCTGACACTATAGTAAAAGTCAGGTAATATAAAATAAATAAACTCCTCTGCCTCCTGTCCTACAGCCAACTACAGAAATATACAGCTCAGCTATAAAACTACCAATCATAGCTAGAAGGAGGGCTGTCAATCATCTTGAGTATGTGCTGCTCACCCCGCCCCCCTCTTTGCTCTTTGCTATGTTACAGATCTGTCCCCACAAAAGAGCCTGCAGTGAATGCACAGGCTAGTTAGAATGGGCACCAATGACAATGGATAAACAGTTTTCCTGTATCAGTAAGTTGCTTCTCTGCCATTTGTACATTGAAATCATGAAATTTTAATGAAGTTTTGTTGTGATACAATAATACAATAATAATAAAAGCATTCTGAATCTGATTGAGCAGCATATGTATGAGCGTTATTGCCTGACTCGTGGATCTGATTGGTTGGGTCAAATTGGGAGAGATGTAGTTTTACAGATGGAAGTAGAACCACACGGAAAAGGCAGAGGAGCAAAATTTTTTCACACAGATTAAGTATCTCATGTTATACTGTCAGAAAATAATGAAAGCTTTAAGGAGTATATACAATTTTTTAAAATAAAAGTTACAGAGTGCAGCTTTAATGGCTACACCAGTCTTCAGAAAGTGAGAAGCTAAAGCTAATAGTGGGTGCTAGAGACTATATGGAATGGCAACAAAAGAAAAAGAGTGGCCAATATTGTCATTAAAATTTCCAGAAGTTGTATTGCTATTAAACATATTCCTAGTCTACCCCTAGTACCAACAAGTTAATTTATATCTGCATTTTGAACCTAGTTGGTTAGGTTGTCTCCTTAATGGCTGAACCTGCAATGAACAAGCGAGTCAGGCAGTGGTCCACTAATGCAAGAAGACATCAATGAAATTCTGCTGGTCTTCATTAGAGGAGGAAGTTTCATTTAAAACAAAAAAAAAATCATCTCATCAGCCTCTGCACACTGCAACAAGCTCTGTAACTGCTGTGAAGGACTGAGGGTTGAAGTCAAATGAGGCCCACGCAGCATCGTTAGGCGCTCGTAATGCCTTATGCTGTTGTGTATAACCTTGTGGGGGCCTTCGAGAGCAGGCATGTGTGTGTGCCAGATGAATCTCACCTCACAGCCTCTGCTTCTGTGCTAGCTCATTACTAAAATGAGCTTTGGCTAAGACACAGGCCAAATGGTGGAAGGTTCCAACAAAAGAAAAAAAAATGTGATGAGGAAACATGCCTCAAGAGATTCAAGAAGTCAACTTTAACAGCAAAGGTTTCTAAAAATGGTAAGGTAGATTTAGTTCTCAAAGCTCTGTGAATATCATGATGTTGGCTAATATATTAGGGAAACATATGTCAACCTGTAACAGAGTATGGAAAGTTCAGTTCATCCAAAAAAGTTGCAAAGTATTTATTGTACCACAACAAATCAAGTAACTCAAAATATTACATTATTCCATAATACCGAATCATGCTCCACAGGAATTTTACTAATTATGATTTTTAAAAAAAAACTTTATAAACAGTCAACTGTTGTAGAGAGAAGCAAGATAAAGTGTCTTGTAATTGAAAGAATATAAGTTTATGGTATTGTGGTGCTGGAAATTAAACCTCTGATCTAGTTTTTCTCCATCTTCCAATAAACTGTCCAGTTTCCTTTTTTCTGGTTAACATGCCATTCTTGCAGCATGGACAGTATGTCCAAGTATGCAAACCTGATGTTGTGGGGAGAATGTCGTGCTTCTTCTCGTTTTCATCTGATGGATGGACTCTACAATATGTTGAAAACTTGGCATGCTGTTTTCTTACCTAACCTGCTTTCGTAATATTGTCCTGACCTAACTGGTATGTTTTGGGGGAAAATTACAAAGTCCCATAACAATATTCAGATTTCACACAAAATGTTGCTCAAATACAATAAACAGTGAAATTGCCTTAGGCAATATTATTTTTCAAAGGGGCTCTGACTGTAAATCACATCAAGAAATTACTTTTTTTTTCTAGAGGTATTGCAAAAAAAGCACATGTAGGGTATTAATTAACACTTAACACTAATGGAAGACACAGGTTTTATTTCCATCTCTGAATAAACTCTGAAAACATTTTGAAATCTATCTGGATTGTTAATTTAAAACGTTTATAAAAATATTATAGTTGCGGAGGGGAAAAAGTGATAAGAAAACCGACAGTGCCTCCTAGAGGACAAATATGTCTCCTAAAGGTAAAAGTATGGAACTTACCATAACCCTGCTGCTGTGGTGGGTAGCCTTGTTGACCTGGATACTGCTGTTGAGGAGGATATCCCTGCTGTTGTGGCGGGCCTTGCTGGTATGCTTCTTGTTGCTGGCCATACTGTGCATTACCTTCAAGGAGTACGAGCATGACTTGTTAACCACATGTAGATAAATGGGACGCACAGTCGTTGCAAAGTGCAATCAACTTCTGCTTTACTGTTTAAATAATTACCCAGCATATATGGGAGGCTGTTTCAAAAGAAACTGGTGGAGACTTTAAGGTCTGGTTCGTCCTTGGGTCCAAATTCCAAATCCCCAAAGGTGCCACATTTACAATTACGTAGGCATAAAAAATATTGGGAAAGTCCAGCTCTTACATTGTTTACTTTAGGACTTCAGTGCCCTCAACTAAATTTGAAGGGTTTGGCCATAATGACCACTGTTACATTTGGAAGAAAACATTTGCAGCTTCACAAGCCTCAGGTCATCACCCCGACTAAAGGCTTCCAAATCCTGACTCAGTTCCCATAAATCTGTCAGGAACAATGGGCCTAAACTCCAGGAAGCCATTGTGAAAAGTTTTTTGAGGAAGACCCAAAATATTTGATACATTAATGTCAATTCTACCAACCACTAAGTGAAGATGTGTAAATGTCTTGATTTTTGTAAGAGTAGCTAATTAAAAGTAATAAAAAAAATTCTTTGTTTTGTGATTTGACAATATAAGTAATACTACGACACATTGATATAGAAATATATACTCTGATTTTAATTATATAAAGGTCAGAGAATCTCAGCATAGCATAGTGAGGTCAGATTTTGAAGAGTGGAGTTTAAGAAGCCATGTTTTTAGTTCTCCACATAACTACTTTAGAAAGTGAAACATGTTTATAGGGTTAAATGAAAGGGATTGGTGAGTAGAGGAGGAAAACAACAGTAAATGTTAACAGGACAAAGAGAAAGAGTTTTATATTTCTTATTTTCTAGCATTGTTGCTAGTGCATCAATAACAATCCTTCACCCAACAAGCTGGAGAACACCAACTCTTTCACACCACTCAACAATGGCTCGCGGTTTGTATGCCACTTGTGGTGCTCTTCTGCATGTCCCTGGTTATTAATAATTTGCTTGGCAAACATTACTATAAACAAACCACAGAACAAATTGTCCATAGCATCAGAAGTATGATGCCATATAATTAAAGGCAAAAAATGACCATTTTATACAATTTCTGCAAAGATCCTAACTTGCTGATGAAACGCAGCACCTTCTCAAAATAGTGTGAACCTCTAAAACATAGATGTTTTACAATTTCAGATTCAGAGCACCATATTCAAAAAGGGCATTCTCCGAGGTAATAATGAAGAAACTCTAAATTCCAGCTTCATTACAATTTCTTGGTCTGTGTCAATTCAGTGAACATCTTCTCCAAGTGACTGGAGGGTTCTCCTACCTTCTGAGGCTCCCTGTCCTGCGTGACTGTACTGGTCCCCATAGTAGTCTTCCTGCCCTGGGTACTGCTGGGGGGGTCCTACATACAACATATACACAGGTAGATTCAAGGTGTTGTTGAATGCCTTGTGTAAGGGGAAGGTTGAAGAGGATGGGTTCTTTTGCTGCTTATTCTCGCTGGACAGCTCTTTGTTGGCTGCTTCCTTGTTTTGCTCAAGGCTGAAAACTTTCAAGTTACACCCATTTCTCATCGAGATATCTGAACTATAGTGGACGGGGTAGAAGAAACTAAGTGAAACAGGAGCAGGAAATGTAGAAGGAAGGGGTTATAAAGAAGAAAGACCAACACTCACAACTTGCACACCTAAGAGAAACTGAGAGGAATACCTTGCTGCGGAGGTCTGTAAGGTGGCATTGGTCTCTGTCCCATGACATGGTTCCCTTGATTGACCTGGCCCATCATACCCATTGGATTCTGTTGCCCTTGGTAGTGTTGTCCACCACCACCAGGAGGCATGTTGTACTGCTGTGATGGAGGCTGCTGATGCATCATGGGACCTGTAGTACACAGGCATTGTAAAAAGCCAAAGCAACTTTGAATAAATTGCTTAGTTTATCTTCACATTTTGTCATATCTGACAGATCAGAGTGGTGTATGATTGTGAATTATGGTGAGTGTAGTACATGGTTTCCACATCTTTTAGCAATAAACATGTGATTTCAGATGTTCTATGTCCACTCTGGGTGAGTACTTAGAATCACCTTTTGAAGTAATGACAGCTGCAAATCTGGAAAGTAAAAATGTTACATGTCCTTTGCAAAACAGGTTGAGCTCAAATAGATTTGGTGGGGGCATCTGTGAACATCAACTTTAAAGTCTTGCCCCAAAATGTTCAACTTAATTTAGATTTGAATGTTCTATTGGAAATAATACTGGAAAAGGCTTTCACTTTAACAACCCCATTGTTGATTTGACAGAGTTGCCATGCTGGATTGTGAAACTTTGCCTCATCTTCTGCAATCTCTAACAAGTAGTTGTCATATTTCTTCCCAATAACTGAAAAAATTTCTATGCGCCTGATGAATAATCCATACCCAAAACATGATATTTAGAATTGTTTTTCTCAGTACCATTTCCTGCTTTCCCCCACATTTATCAATCGATAGTGTTGGTCTTTCACATAAGATCCCAATAAAGTACATTGAGGTTTGGGGCTCTAACATGATAAAATTTGAAAAAGTTCAAGAAGTATGAATACTTTTGCATGACGCTGTATGTGTCTCACAGCAAACACCACTGAACGTGATGAACAGTTTTAAATCAATGCAGCCAAAAATGGAAACTTGCAAATGCATCAGTTTACCTTGAGTAGGTTGCATGTTCATGTTTGGTCGAGGCCCGTAGCTTCCCATAGGTTGACCCTGGGTCATGTTCATCTGGCTCTGAGCTGGCATGCCCTGCGAAGAGGGCACCGCGTGATTGTAAACACCCATAGAGCCATGGCTGCTGGGGGGCATGTTCATGGAGCCGCTGGGCATATTTGGAGGCTGGTTGGGACCCGGACCAGGACCTTGCATGGGCATATGATTAGGACCTAGAAAACAGAACAGAGCAAAAAAATAAATAAATCACAGTAACTTGATATACTCTAATATGGTATTTAACACCAGCCTTTTCATCTTTTTGTGCAATGAATAATACATTTTGTTTCTTTATTTAAAATGTAAAATATGTTAAGTTGTCATTTATTATTGAAGTTTATTTAAATTATTACATTATTAGTGAATGTGATTGCTGCTATAGTGATAATGCACTGCTTTCCAATTACTCCATGGGTGTTGGTCGACAAAAGTGACTTACCTCCACACATCAGAGTCAGAAACAACATGACAACAAAGTTCTGCGTTTCAATAAAAAAATTAAAAAAAAATCAGAAATAGAGATCACATTATAGATCCACCACAGCACGAATGGGTGACATCATCCTTCAGCCGAACGACCTCCCTCATAGTGCTGTGGTGTTGCCAGGCAACTCAGGGTGAGACAGAAACTGTGGAAAGGGAGAAAGAAAGAAAAAAGAAAGAAAGACAAGAAATTGGGGCTGCTGAGACAGGGAACTTACCAGGCATCTGTCCATTCATCTGGTTCTGCATATGGGGAGCTGGAGGGCCACCACTAACCATCCCCTCAGAGGGCATGTTGTGACCGTGAGGGGGCTGAGGAGAGGGTCCGCTCTGGTTCATGCCACCAGGACCCATGGACATGTTTTGAGTGGGTGGCTGTAGGTGAATACCACAAACACACACATCAGTTGTCTGAAAAAATAATGACATATCTGTCTGCAGGAAAGAAAAGCTGGTAAGAAAAAAAAAAATAAATCTAAAATGTTCTCACTAATCAAATAGGACAAGTAGTACATCAAGATTTAAATAAAAAACTTGTACTATAAAAATATATACATTGAATACAGACATAATAATTCAGAGAGGAAAGGAGACAACACATAAAAGACACTTTCTTTTTAGTAATCTGCTGAAATCATAATGAATTTAAACAATATTTTTTTCATAACCTTATAAAACATCACATCATGTATTGGTTACAACCTGGGATTTTAGAAAACAGCAGCAGCTAAAAAAAAATAAAAGAATGAATGAATACGTAATTTTAATTTCAAAACCAAACAGTAAAAAGAACATTTAAAAATGTTATTCAAATTACTCTAATTGCCTATAACTGGTAGAGGACCTCAACAATGACATTGACTAAACATAGCAACATCAACAGAAGTTAATAATACTCACAGCAGGGAGGAGAGACTGTACGTTTTGATTGGAGTCTGCTATCGTAGCCAGATACACTAAATTTCTGTGCAGCATCTGTTGATAACTGGTATGGTAGATTGAGATTAATTAATGCTTCACATTTAATTAAATGAACTGTACAGAAGAAACTAAACTTGGGAAACTTACTGAGAACATTCGGCTGTTTTGCCTTTACTCTGGAAGTCCATAATACACTGGATCAGCTGGTTGTTTTCATCAAGTAACTGAAAAAGTAAAAAGCGGATAATATAACTTCTGTGTTACTTCTCATCATTTTAAGGCAAAACGAAATAAGACTGTATAGTCAGTCCCGTGATAGTTGTGCTCTCTGGTGTTTATTCTGTTGCAGTTGAAGACAAAGAGATCGGTTTTTTTCGTAAAATGTAAGCGTGCTTTTCTCGCTAACAAAGACGTGTCTTGCATGCTAGCTGTGCATTGCTAACAAAACCAAAGGCCTTCATTCATCTAACGAACAATTTTCCATCAGCATGACAAGTTAACTTTGGTTTCCCCGTGTACAGACGGGATCCTGCTTCTAGGGAGTTTCGTATTCACCGCGCTTTGATCGTGTAACAGTGTTACCGATCTGCCCACAGTTGAGACTTAGATGGGCACTGCTACATAGAGAATCTCAACAGCTAGCAGCCGCGTCTCAAACCGTAGCCTCCATAATGATCCGCGGGGGGGAAAAAAACCTGGTGAATTACCTTTTGTATTCCAGCGGGTGTTATATCACCCTTTCGCTGTCTGTGAGGTGCAAAAGCCACCGACATGGTGATAAAAAAAATTACGGATAAAAGCGAGCTACAGCATAAAAAGTCCCCAAGTGGCTAACACAGGACAAATCGGTAAAACTCTGATCCCACAGCGCTCAATACGGTGCAATTTCGTAATGCAGCGGTCCGTTTTGGGGGGTGACGGGAAATTCAAACATACTTCTTTTTGTCAATCTTATTTCCCATTGTGTTGTAACTAGAAAATCACAGTTGCCGTACATAAATAGTTGGATATTAAATACTTGGTTTTCTTGGCAAATCAATCGTTTTTGACTTTATTTAATTGAAATACCCCTTCATCGTTTAGTGGAACAGTCTACAGAAGAGCAGAAAACCATAAAAGGGGAAACTGTCAAACTTTAATTTAAGTAATAATAATAATAATAATAATAATAATAATAATAATAATAATAATAATAATAAATGTTGCTCTTTTTCACGTCGTTATGCGTTATGGGACGTACTGAACTGATAAGAAATAGAACTGTAATTTTTTGGGAGTGTAGCTTTTCTAAGCGTAGTGTGTGTGATTCTAATTTGTTGTGAATCTGCAAGCATGGGCGTTGTTGGCCCTTTCGACATGTTGGCCCCTGGAAACGAAGCTGCTGTGTCCGTCATGTTGCGGGTGGCAAGTTCGCCTGGTAAAAGCAATTAAACTGTGACGTTTTTTTTAATTGGAAGCAATAAAATAAAATACAATGAAGATATTTAAAGAGTCACAAATATTTTTGAGACTTTGAACAAGAGTTATTACATGAAAAACCATTGCTCAAAATACATGTACTTGTCTTCGAAAAATATAGAAAGACGCTTATATGTTAATAATGAATTAGTAACTGTTGACAGTCTTGTGTTAACGTGCTTCACGCCAGATGTAAAACAACATAAAGAAATATAGACATAGACATATTTAGTTGCAATAAAAAAAATTATATGAAATGCTCGAGCATTAGATACACAGCTTGATCTAAACTTAAATATGTTTTTTATGTTTAACTAAAAGATGCCACTTATAAAATGGCGGCGTCACTGACGTACAATTGACACTCACGCGGCTTTTGCCATTTTTAGCATCCGCAGTTCATAGGTAACGCGCATGCGCAGTCCCAATTCTCAACTTGAACCGCTCGTTGCTAACTAGCTGAATCATTAGATTGAACTTTTCTCCTTTTTGTCTCGTCCAGCTTGTCTTGCAGTGCGATGGCGGCAAGATATGACAGAGCAATTACTGTCTTTTCCCCAGACGGTCATCTCTTTCAAGTAGAGTATGCACAAGAAGCTGTAAAGAAAGGTTCCACCGCAGTAAGTGTTTTAAATTGAATTGATGCTAAAGCTAACGTTGTCAGCCTCCCTTAGCCAACAAACTCGCTGCTAGCAATCACTCATTACTTGCTCAGTAGTGTAATTTGTTAACATTGTCTGTTACATTTTGAATTATGTTGGTCTAAATGTTGTTGTTGAACATGAGTTATTTCAATCGCACTGGTAATATAGTGGAGACGACACTCGTGGAGTTGAAAATCACCACTGTTAGCATTTTGTCGCTGTGTCACTCTCAGTACTTTCGGTTTTGATGTGATTTTAAATAACGAGACACGGGGAGAAAAGATTGATTAAAAATAATTAAAATCAAGCCAAATAATGGTCACGTTTGTTTTTACGTGTAGTATAATAGTCTTGAGAAATGTTTTTCAGAATAATCTTCTAATTGCCACACAGAATATGCCATAAACTTGATCTATTCAGGGACAGGAATTTATACCAAATCATTTTTGGTACAAATAATTTGGTATAAATCCTTTTATCCAAAAGTATTTATATTCCATTTGGAATAAAAATCTAAATGTTGATCAACAAGTTATTACTATTAGTCAGAATTTGGACAAATGCAACAAAATAATTCGGAGATGAGGTTTAAGGTATTTATAGATGAAGTTTTTATTTTCTAAATGACCTAACCTAAAACTTCTAACACATTAAGTCTTTGTTCTTCTGTAAAACCCTTCTCATAAGTATGATTTAAAAGCTCTATGAATGTCTGAAAAGAAGCAGTGTTCACTTATTAGTTCTTCATTTACACTAAGCAAACTGAGTAGCTGTAATTACAGCTCTGAAAAATGATTACAGCTGATGAAACAATCTAACACATTTACTAATTCAGAAAATGTAGTCGCATAAAAATATTTATGTTTGTGTAGAAACCTTTGCAAAAACAACATACTGGCATGTAATTGTTTGGCTGTAATCAGACCCCTAGTCCTTTTAAAAAAGAAAATCTGTCAAATCTGGAAATAATAAAGAAAAATTTGCCTTTAAAAGTGTCATCAGTGAACCTCCAATCTATTCTGATGAAAAGTTGCATTGTGCCATGCTCCTCCTGATTTTATATTTATTATTTTTTAAATAAGAAACAAAGTAATTCTTATCTATGCAAAAAGCTCTCTGTAGTATCTGTTTTAATTTGGCTGTTTTTATAGGTCCTGAATTATATTCACATTTTGTTGGGGCTTTCTTACTGAAACACATCCTTAGTCTTTTTAGTTGGTTGAATACAGGAGTTGTGTATTTACTCTGCATCAGTAAGTGCATCACATCTAAACCGATAGATATAAAATATTTGCTGTTTCTAAAATAATTAGTAATAATCATATGCTGTTTCTTGTCCTCAGGTTGGAATCAGAGGTAAAGATATTGTCGTTCTTGGTGTGGAGAAGAAATCTGTTGCAAAATTGCAGGAAGAAAGAACCGTCCGCAAGATCTGTGCACTGGATGAACATGTCTGCATGGCATTTGCGGGTAACTCAGAAATCAGTTTTGATTTTGATGGATACTTGGCAAGAAAATTAGATAATTGGGTTAAAGTTAGGTCAATATATCAATGTTTCTTATAATTTCTTTCACTGTCTCCTTGCTTTAGTGGTTTAATTTCTGTCTTTGTTTTTAAGGTCTGACGGCAGATGCCCGTATTGTGATAAACAGAGCTCGGGTTGAATGCCAGAGTCACAGGCTAACAGTTGAGGATCCTGTCACAGTGGAATATATCACAAGATACATCGCTACTCTGAAACAGGTAATTTACAAATTTTGGAAAGTAACAATGGGAACAATGACAAATGACAACGACTTAGTTATAGTGAGTATTCTCCTCCGATTTCCTTAATAGCGTTATACTCAAAGCAACGGACGCAGGCCGTTTGGAATCTCTGCATTAATTGTTGGCTTTGACTACGATGGAACCCCAAGGCTGTATCAGACAGACCCTTCGGGGACTTACCACGCTTGGAAGGTCAGTGTTTTTTTATTCTTATCTTTATTTTCATCACAATGTTGTCTTTGCTTGCTTGACAAGGAAAGTGCTGGTCTGAAAACAATTCCCGTTGATTTTGCTCTACAACTTTGTGAAAAAAATATTCAGGCAAATGCAATCGGCCGCAGCGCGAAAACAGTGAGGGAGTTTTTGGAGAAGAATTACACAGATGAAGCTATCGCTGGGGACAATGAGGCCATCAAGTTGGCTATCAAAGCTTTGCTTGAGGTAAGGTCATATTAAACCTTTGCATCAGCTTGTTTTCCTAAAGTTGCTCTCTCATCGTTTAATTTCTGCACTGAGCGTTTCCACGACAAAAATGTTAAAGTGAAAAATTAACCTAAAGTGTAATTTTAAATTACACTGTTTGGGAGGGAGACCAAAAGAAAATGTAGCATATTCATGTTTCTAGACCTAGTCCTAGTTCCACTGATTAGAAAATACAGTTCTGAATTTATGCACAACTCTGCTTACATTGAATAATATCTGGACACTATAGTTAATATTTTGATATGGCAATTCAACACTTAATTTGAGCTACTGACTAAATTATTCAAATATAAAAGAAGACAATCTTCCTTTTTGCCTCTGCAGCTTTCAACAGAGCTTTGCAATATTCAGAATTGCAATATTGCAGTTTCAAAGAACTGCAATATTCTTTGAATATTACAGTTCAAAGAATATCTATAAACACATATATATCTTAAATATAGAATATAATATTTAAGGTATCAGACAATAATTTATGTATGTTGGTATATTTTGGCTAACTGCCTGTTGTATATTTGACACATCTGAGATGTTAAAAATCACTGTTTCTCATCAGTATAACTATTTTTTAGCAATGGTATTGCAATTTAATACTTTTCTGATATTGTGCAGCCCAGTCTTCTAAGATCAAGGTTTTAGGATGGAATTTTGATCTTGTATTGGTTTTCAATAATAAACAAAGAATTATATCAACTATTTTAGGAACTTTCAATATCAAAATTAAGGTTTCGCTGATAATTTACTTTTAAAGGTCATATGCTTGGTGTCGAAGTCACTTTTCCCCCCATATCTTATTTATTACATGTAAATTATCTATGAATCCATCCATTTTGAAATGGATGGTCATATGCCGAAACGTAGGTAGCCCTTTAACATGAGGGCTAATCCAACTTCAGCATAACAAATAGTCTAACTCAGTAAATGTTTTGTTCTCATAAGTCCTATATATTAAAACAGTTTGAAAAAGTTCTTGCTGCAATAAAGTCGACTGTAGAATTTCAGGATTTATAGAAATATACTTGCAACTGAAAACAGTTCTGACTTGATCTCAAGACTAACTGTTCAGATAGTAAAGGTATTTTTGAACAGCTTTACCATCAAGTGATATTCATCTTAAGTGGAAATTGTCCTTTAATAACATTTAAATTTTCCCCTAATTGATCACAGGTTGTCCAGTCAGGAGGAAAGAATATTGAACTTGCTGTTATTAGAAGAAATCAGCCACTCAAGGTACACCGTTAAACTAATCTGGATAATATGTTGCATATTATTATTTTAGCTTTTGCATTAACTGATTTCTGTGTTTATAGATCTTGGAGTCCAAGGAAATTGAGACCCTGGTGGCCGAGATAGAGAAAGAAAAAGAAGAGGAGGCAGAGAAGAAAAAGCAGAAAAAATCCACTTAAAACTTTTGACATAATTTTTGGTTTATTGCAATACATTAGTATTTTTGGGTTCCATACATTAGTTTCAAAGAATGTGCTCATTTGTTTCATTTGTTTGTTGAGCTGAATCTTAACT